ACTGACCAAGGCCACGGGGCCACCCATCCATCCATCCACCCATCCATCCATCCATCCATCCATCCATCCACCCATCCACCCATCCATCCTTCCACCCACCCATCCACCCATCCATCCATCCGTCCATCCACCCATCCATCCACCCATCCATCCATCCACCCATCCATCCATCCACACATCCACCCATCCACCCATCCACCCACCCATCCATCCATCTGCCTCTCATCCATCTCTGCCTGAGTACTTGCAGATAGCTATTTTGTAGGGAAGAAAATGTTCTTAACTCTTCTCTCAAACTTCTGAAATACATCTCTTAAGCTTTTTTTTTTTTTGAAATTTTTTAAGTTTAAATTTTTACTTATTATTGTATGCGTGTATAAGAGGTGTGTGTGTGTGTTTTATGTGTGTGTGTGTGTGTGTGTGTGTGTGTGTGTGTGTGTGTGTGTGTGTGTGTGTGAGTTTGGGTGCATGTGTGCCCTGGTGTGCATGTGGAGGTCGGAGAACAACACTTGGGAAGTGGTTCTTTCCTTCTATCCTGGGTTCCAGGGTATCTAATTCATATTGTCAGACTTGTGTGGCAGGTTGTCTAACCCACTGAGCCATCTCACTAGCCCAGACTGTTTTGTTTCTAATTACAATTTTCAGACATATGCTTCAGTATTGCCTAACAATGACCAATTTTTCCCTCAAACTACAATACTGTGGAGTGGAATAGGACACTAAATTAATCAAATTATATAATTCCTCATACTGATAGCCAATGACTGAAAAAATAGAACTTATTACTTTGGTAGACATAAAAATATTTACACTGTAATTACCTCTAACTCTAAATATTTTGCTAAATGTGTATCTAGGGATACAAAGTCAAAAGTACAAATAGAATTCCATTGATTTATGTATATTTCTGGATGGTTTTAAGCTTTTAGGAATTTTTTTAGCCTGATTCTGCTACCAGGTTTGTGTTCCTTCTGTCATCCAAATAAAACCATATTTATCTTCAGTTTCTAGTTTTAAAACAAATTAAGAACAATATTTTTAGTTATTTATTATTTATTTGTGTGAATGTACATCTCTCTCTCTCTCTCTCTCTCTGTGTGTAGTTTCTGAGTTTTAAAACAAATTCAGAACAATATTTATTTATTTATTTATTTATTTATGTGAATTTATATCTCTTTCTCTCTCTCTCTCTCTCTCTCTCTCTCTCTGTGTGTGTGTGTGTGTGTGTGTGTGTGTGTGTAGTTTCTGAGTTTTAAAACAAATTCAGAACAATATTTATGTGAATGTCTCTCTTCTGTGTGTGTGTGTGTGTGTGTGTGTGTGTGTGTGTGTAGTTTCTGAGTTTTAAAACAAATTCAGAACAATATTTATGTGAATGTCTCTCTTCTGTGTGTGTGTGTGTGTGTGTGTGTGTCTGCGTGTGCCTGTACATGTGCATGTGCATGTAGGTACCCTCAGAATCCAGAAAAGAGGGTCAGATCCCCTAGCGCTAGAGTTACAGGCAGGTGTGAGCTACTTGAAGTGGGTACTGGGAATTGAACTCTGGACCTCTGGAAGAGCAAGTAGTTCTCTTAACCACTGACCCATCTCTCCAGCCACTGCAGAATATTTTACATTACTTTTTGATGTGGCACTTTCATTAAAAAGAACTCCTTGCCTTTTGCCAAATTTTAACGAAATCAATCTTTAGTCATGAAGTATTATATTTGATTAGGTTTTTATGGATAGCATTTATAAAAGTACCATTTATTCCACGGTTATGGGGAGTATGTATCAAATGGGTGTGGGATTCTATTCTGTCCTTTACTATGCAATAAACAAGATGCTACTTGAATCCTACTGATACAGTGAATTGCTGGTGTTGCTTAATATTAGACCCAACCTCCACTTATTGAATATGAATAAACACCACTGGGTGGTGTGAAATCCTTTTATATATTGTACAGTTACTTTAGATAATATTTTTTTTTGAAATTTCTACATCTGTGCTCTTGTGTGGGTTTGTTTTCTACCTCCGTTGTGCAAAACAAGTGAATAGTGTAAAGAGAAATACAGAGCTTAAGGCAAAACTTGTTATCAGAATATGAAGACACACACTTAGAAGTCAGCATCAAAGCAGGCCTGCTTCCACCAAGGATGCCCGTCAATGTAGGAAAAACAAGGGAACCAGAAAAGCAGTTATATTGAAAGTTATAGATGCACGTCACATTGGTGGTGGTAGGGATGGAGTCACAGCCTCAGCAGCCTGAGGAGTTCCCTCAATCTTTGAGGGAATTTGACTCAGGCAGACCTACGATTCTTGGCTATGGCTCAGAAAAGATTCTCAGGGTGAGCCAGCCGAAGGCAGAGTTGAAATATATTAAAGAATAGAAAGGCGGGAGGTGAGGGAAAGGCGAGGTGCCCTGGAGAGAAGGTGTCTGGACTTCACAGAGTCTCGCTTCCAGTATCTAGTGGGGGCTGTGTAAGAGAGCTGAGCTTTCGGAATCTCTTTGTTCATTGGGTTTCTAAGGGATCCTCCCCTCCTCTACCTTCATTCCCAATGTTTGATAATTGAGATTAGAGTGACTCTGGAGGTGCCATGGATGGGATTACAGTATGATGAGAGTAAGTCAAGAGCAACTAGGGTTGCACAGGAGTTCAACATGTGTCTTTCATTTAAATGGGGCTTCTGGTGAGGAGCTTAGAAAACTGCAGTTCATAGCTGCAAAGAGGAAGAGTCTGTAAGTAAAGGCACTTAATTGTTTTAATTGATTGAATTTCGGATTCCCAACTGGTGAGATGCTGCAACTAGACACCGGGCTGAGGAGCTGCATCTCCTTGCCCTGTCCAGGACCCCCTGTCTTTCTGTCCTTCCTAATCATCAAATTAATAAAATGGGCTTACAACAGTGAAAAGCGGTGAAGAACCAAAAACTCTCCAACATAAACCAAGAAAACTGACAATTACTAGAAGCAACTTTTTCAGACCTCTGGAAATTAAGCAAAGCCTTCAGCAATTTGGAGAGGTTTTTTGCCCCCAAGAAAAAGAAATAATTCATGTGAAAATAACAATCTTTGTGGGATTTAATTTGCCTGGTTTTTCCCTTTGCAAACTAAGTGCTGTGAATACTGGCAGTTTGGCAAACACCAAAAACACAGTGCTGGGTGTTCTCCAAACCTCAGACCCGAAAAGCAGGCACAATCTAACCGCATCATGCTTCCTAGAAAATGCACTTCAAGCTTGCCTGTATTTGATTTGAATCCAACTTCATTTAATGCTAAAAGCAATGTATTTGGAAAAGGACAGTCATGTTTTTAACTGTCATTGTGGTAAATGATATGGAAATAGCCACGGAGCAAATCGTGTGATAACCAAAAAGAGCACAAGGAAAAAACCTCCTGGGTCCGTGGACGTCTATGACAGATTTCTGGGCCTCCAGAACGTCGCCCTGATGGTCAGGGCTGAGCACCTGCTCCACAGTCTTCAACTTACTAAGGAAAGACCTAAAAAGGCCCCAAACTTTCACCTTTGGCTGCTCTTAAGACTCTTCACTAGCTTGAAGTGCAGTGACGTTTGAAGTGCTGCCTGGCTGAGTGCTGCGGCCTGTCCACTGAGCACCTGGAGCCCCATAAAGAAGGCAACAGGATAGATACCGAGTCCCTGCACACAAGGAACACAGACACTGGGGAACCCGCTGGGGAAAGTCAGAGGTAAAATCCACGACAAACAGCAATTAAAATCAATAAACAAGAAGGAAGCCCTGAGGGGGCCCTGGGGGGGACTCTGACTTTGAGAACCACAACTTTATATTATTTGGAGTGCTCAGCTTCCATTTTCTAAAGAAAGCAGCTTCTGGAAAGTATTGTAATGATAGTTCCTTAAACAGAAAGTATCAGTGACATGGTGGACACGCCCCAAAAGAAAGAAAATTCAAAATCGAAGAATACAGTCACAAATTAAATATTCAGTAGGGAGGAACAAGCAGACGGAAGACCAGCAAACTTGCTTATCAACTGAGATCACACAGTCTGAGGAACAGAAAGAGTGAAAAATGAGAAAAATTAAGAGCTTGAGACACCCGGGAGACCCTGCGCACCAGGTCAGCGCACACACACCATGAGGGTACCAGAAAAGCAGAAGGAGTCGGTGCAGAAACACTTAACGAACCAGTGGCCCCAAGCTTCCCAAGTTTGATTTGCAAACCCTAATTTCCATATCTGAGAATCTCTATGAAGTCAAAGTAGGATAAACACAGAAAACTCCACCACAGGCACAACACTAGTTGTTGTAAGACAAATGCAGGGAGCCTTGACTCATCATATACATAAGAGTACTAGCTGATATTTTCATCAGCAACCATGAAGGGCAGACGTCAGTGAATTTAAATATCATTGAAGAATTTCACACCAGCTCTATCAGAAAAGTAAGGGGGTTGAGTAATGTCTTCATTCCATTTTTCTGTGGCTGTGATAAAACACCATGAAGGAAGCAATTTAAGTGAGTAAGGGTTGATTCGGCTCCATCACTGTGGAGAAATCAAGGTGGAAGGAGATTGAACGACCAGTCACATCACATCCCCGGGCCAGAGCAGGAGTTTCATGAAAGCATGCCAGTGCTCAGCTCACTTCCTCCGCTCTCACACAGATCTCCTGCCCAGAGAACGGTGCCCCCCACAATGACTGAGCAGGACCCCACTATTCAAGATAAGAGACATGCCCACATGCTGACCTAATCTGGACAGTGCTCCTTGAGACTGTGTCAAGCTGACAATTGAGATTAACCATCAAAAGTACTATAGAAGTGTTTGCCTAATGGTACGTGCTTTGTTTGAAAAGTACAGACAACAAAAATGTTGCAAATTCTAAATGAAACAATGAATTTGAAATACAGTACTAGGTAATTGCCAGGCATTCTATGTGGAAGTTGAATGTTTTATGTCAAGGGATAGGAAAAACCCTGTGAAATGTAGTATTTCTACTCAGCAGCTGATGACTAGCTTCCTTTCAGGACTAAAATTCTGTGCGTCATTTCCTAGGATGCCATAGCATCAGAATCACCACAGTTACCTGAGCATTTAAATGAACTTTATACGCCTGGTCCTTTAGCCAAATTCTGGTGTAATTTTCTGCTAACGTTGGATTGCCGTTTTTCACTTCATAAACTATGTGCTCAAATCTCGCTGAAGATTCCAATGGTTCAATTCGATAGCTGATATTTTCAAACTGCAGAAACCCCCTGAATATTCAGAAAGGCAATGATTATCAAAATCCTTCAGGGTCCTGTGAAAGCTACCATCTGAAATGTTGTGAGACATAAAAAACAACAGTGAGACAAATGATTTCACCTGTTTTCTTTTTCTTCTTGTCACCACCACTAACAGCCGCCATAATTTGCCTTAATTTGTATCTTTTTTCTAAATGTAGCTCAGGGTGGCCTTGAATTTTCAATCCTCTCACATCAGTCTCCTAAGTGCTGCAGTTACAGGCAGCATCACATCCAGCTCTACTCTCTTTTTACTTTTTTTTAAAAATTTTTTAATTGAATTTTTTGGTATTTCATACAGAACAGCTCAATCAGTCTTAATCATCTTTACACCCCCTTCCCCACTGGTGCCCTCACATAACCTCCCCCTCGAATTCATACATCTGTCATTTGTGTTAAGGCCTATTGTGTCAAGTTAGTGTTCCCAGACACCCTCAGTGCAAGTTCATCCACTGAGGTCTAGTCAGCCTATCTAGAGTCCCTCCCTTTAAGAAGACCAGCTCATCTTCACCCAGCAGTATATCAGCTGCCAATAGTTCTTCAACTAAGACTGGGGTCTGCTGTCCATTTCCCCAGTTCTTGGTTTTTGTCTGCTTGAGTTTGCATAGGTCTTGTGCATGCTGACACCATTGCCATAGAATCGTATGAGCAGGGTCCCAGAAGCTTGTAGGACTCTGTTTCCATATGGTCATGCACCTCCTCCCTGGCTCTTGCAATCTTTCCTCCCCCTCTTCTGCAATGGTCCCTGAGCCCTGGGTGGGTGAAGTTTAATATAGGAGTCCTGTCTAAGAAACAGTATTCTACAGACTCTTAATCTCTATACTTTGGCCATTTGTGACCTTTTGTGTTCCTGGTCTTCTGTTACATGAGGGAGCATCATTAATGAGAACTGAGAGATTCATTAGTGATCTCTTTACCCTGTTCTATGTTCTGTGAGCCTTAGGTGTAGAAGCTGCATTGTAGATGTGTCACTTAGGCCTGGGCAATTCATAGACAATATCTGTGTGTGACCAGTTGTGGTACTTGGTAACAGTCTCCGGTACAAAAGAAGCTTCTTTGATGAGTGGTGGCTAGGATATTTGTCTGTAAATATAAGGATACATATTTTATACATAGTAAGAAATTACATTAGTCTAGGGCTGTGATAGTCTTGGGATTTTCTCTAAGATCTATGACATGTCCAGTCATGTGTATTTGGCTATATTTACAGTACCACACATAAGTTTCCCACCCATTGAGTAGAATTTTATTCCAATTAGGTAGCTGTTGACTGTCCACAAAGTTGCTCTCTTTTTAAAAAGGAGATTTTATAATTCAAGATGTTTGGAGGCTCGGGGATAGGGAGAGAAAACTGAAGTATACTTCTATGTCTCAGGGAACAGAAAGAGCCAGGAAGGGAAACACATTCTGATGAGAGGAAAGAGAAAGAGCTCTGGGAATCAAGAAAGAGGTGAATGGAAAAACTGAATCAGGAAAGCACTCGGAGAAAAGCACAAACCAGTCTGCAACTTGGAGCTTGACTCCCCAGCACGGGAGAAACCTAGACCCAGCAGGCACAAGGGGAGCCAGAGAATGCACGCATACCACCTCACTGCTAACAGCAGACTGGCGTCCTAGATTCATACAACTCTTACACCCAGGGTGGAATGTGGCAACATGACTCCCCTGCACAGCAAGCTAGCGTTAGACAACAAAGCTGTGACATCTCTTACCAGCACTGAGGGCTGTAACTAGGGCCATCTAGAAAAGGCACCTAAGGTTAGGAATGACACTACTATGTGGGTCAGAAAACATTTGTGTGTGTGTGTGTGTGTGTATATATATAATGTATAAAATCATGCATATATATTTGTATTTCAAACTATACTACAAAATGACATGTTGTAGATGTAAAACAGACAGAGCAGTGGACTAGGACAGAGAACCCAGAAATAAGCCCACTCATCTACAGCCAACTTATTTTTTATTATAGTTTATTGAACTTATGCAAATTTCAATTTTGATCATATTTAGATCCCTTCCCCTATCTGAAGCCCCTTTTACTGCCCCCACACAATCACCCAATTCATGTGCTCTAATCTCTCTCTCTCTCTCTCTCTCTCTCTCTCTATCTATCTATCTAACTATCTATCTACCTACCTACCTAACTATCTATCTAGGCTTGTGGAGTAAGGTTTGTCTCTCCAATACCTCATCCATGTGGGTCCACACTGGAGCCTGGTTAACCTACCAAGAGTCTCACCCTTAGATGAGACTGACTCCCCTTTCACAGCAGCTAAGGTCATTTTCCACAGTTGCAACAACAGCAGAGATTGAAGCAATAGCCTTTAAAGAGACAATGTGCTGGATAGCGTTAGTGTTGACTTGACACACCTGGGTTGAGGGAGCCTCAATTGGGGAATTTCCTTCATTGGACTGGACTGTGGCCATGTCCATGGGGCACCTTCTTGATTGTTGAGTGATGTGGGAGGGCCCAGCCCACTGTGGGTGGTGCCACCCCTGGGCAGGTGGGCCTGTATTGCATAAGCAGGCTGAGCTGGGGCCAGGAGAACAAGCCAGTAAGCAGAACTTCTCCATGGCCTGTGCTCCAGCTCCTGCCTCCAGGTTCCTGCCATGAGTTCCTACCTTGGGCTCCCTGATGAACTGTGATCAGGGAGATGTAAGATAAATAAACCCTTTCCTCCCCAAGTTGGCATTGGTCAGAGTGTTTTCTCACAGCAATGGAAAAACAAACTAGAACAAGGGACATTCTAAAATTTGCTTTTCTGAAATTATCCTTTCCTGCCCAGGATACTGGAGACCTCTCCGTTGAGGAGGCCCTCAACCGGAATATGTTTAGGGATTAACATTCAAAGGCTGTCATAAAAAAATCTTTCAGAGTTCAATTTCAAGTTTTTCCTGGTTTGTGTCTGCTTGCCACACATTCATTTTAAAGTGAATCCTATTTTACATGTGTATAAATATTCTCTAAGACGTTATTACCTAAGTCCCGAACAGACACTGACTGTCACAACAGAATCTGGAATTTCTGCAATGTGTCCTCGGTACTGACAATGCGTCTGAAAAGCAGATCACACGGGTAAATACAAATTCTTCTGAAACCAAGAGTGTATTGTTAAACATTTCAGAAGGCTTATGAGATGAAAATATTTGACACTATTAAGATCAGGAATTATACAGCACTATTCATGCAAATTCTCGGGAAACACAGTTTTGACACTTTTTTCACTTTGCACCTGTGGGTCTTCTGTGTTCTGTCTCTGATGTGGTATTTCCATGTATAGTAGTCATTCATGTAACAGCTCAGAGTTAACAGAACAAAACGTCGGAATTAGATTGTCAACACAGTGTCTGTTTGGGATATGGTACGGTAGCAGAGTGTGTGTGCAAGGACCTAGGTTCAGTACCAAGTAACCAGAACAAAATGTCTACAAGGAAAAAAAATTCTAAGTGTATTATATGTCCATGTCAACAAAGAAACATAACAGATGTCTAGGACACCTGACTCTTACCATAAAATAAGAAGATTCGGAATGCAAAGATCCAGTTTCGTTATACACAGAAATCAAAAAATTCTCGGATAAGAATGAGCTAAAAATAAAAAATTTAAGTCATAATTTAATATGAATATACACATCAGTAAATCAATGATAAATGTATCAATTCATACAGCGACATGATTTAATTACAGCAGTTCTGGTGTGGTGTCATTGCTGACACTGTTACAGCACTCAACCGCACTGTCAGGTATGGTCATTTGTGCCTATTTATGTCTTCACTCAGCAAGTACTACTTTGTCGACCTCATGAAGGCCTTGTCTGGATCCTGGAATGCAGCAACGAACATAGGCAAAGACTCTGGTCAGTAAGAGACACACATCACTCGCATGCTATATAACAGTGAATGAGGCCTGAGTATTGTGGGGGTGTTCATAGGAGTTTGTAGAATGACACTGTGAGGCTCTCCAGACAGATGACTAGACACAAAGAACAAGCCGTGTGGACTTTCGGGCAGTCACGACCGCATGCACGGATCTTGATAAGTTTGCGTAGACACAGAACAGCTGTGGTTCCACGTCTGGGATGGGCTGTGGAAGAATAGTGTGTGAGGTGATGAGATGGTAGAAGACTTTGGTGACTGGGTGCTGATGAAAACCGAAGCAAACAACATTTCAGACCACTGGGCCAAACTACTGCTCATAACAGACCCACATTTTAAAAGAACCAAACTCAATGCTGTGTTGAGAATATGCTGCATGTTACCAGAAGCAGAGGGACCAGGGAGAGGGCCGGAACTATCTCCCAGGCCATCCCTGCTGGAGGTTTGAATGAGGAAGTTTGAATGAGGAGGGCAACAGTAGTAGCCGTCCCATTGTGGACATATGTGAAGAGCAAACACATAGGTTTTTGAACAACTGGAAGAGAAGACTCATCTTTTACTGAGACCATTATGAGAAATTTAGGGGTAAGAAGCAGCCCAGAGCTTCACTTTGAGCAAATTACATACATGAATCCCACTGAATTGTATTTTTATTACCAAGTAAGTCATCAGCGTATGAGTTTATTGCAATGGGGAGATGCAAGAATATAAATGTGGGAGCAACCACGGAAACCGCATGGAAAGCCACAGGACTGAATGAAAAAGCTAGCTGACTGGATACATACTAAAAACAGGGTTCAGGAAGTACGCTAAAGCCCATAGAAGAACCTGCAAAGAAGCAAGACAGACAGACAGGAGTGATAATGCTGGAAGTCAGACCAGGACCAGGAGCCTCTGATATTTTGGGAGCCAACAGAGAAAGAATTGTGTGCAGCAAACAGACACTGACCAGTTATGCAAAATGGTACCAATTAATAGAGAAAAATGAAGAAACACAACCATGCCATTATAATATGAATATAATATAAGTCTTATCAACAATTCTAACCATTTTTAGTGAAATGCATTGAGGGAGGAATGAAAGGCCAGCATAAGGTTAGCAGATCTGAGTTAACTAAGTGCAGTCTCAAAGCAAGAGTGTTTCTTCAAGCTTATTCAACTGCAGAGATACAGGAAGACATGTAACGGTTGTCATAAGTCCATGTTCTAAAACCTGAGACAGGACAGTTCTCAGGAAATACTCAGCAAATGCAAACGAAGATACTAGAAAAGTCTGCTGACTGTTGCCTTGAACTGTGTGTGGGATTGGAAACCCACTGAAATTACGTGAGCCCTCTCTGAAGGAAGGGAACGCTAAACCTGAGCTAGAGCTGATGGCCACATCAACGCTGAAATCCTGAATTGGGCACTTGGGAGAATTTATACATAAAATGTATGCAGTGAGGTTTTTAAAAACACATATACAATTAATTCATCATAAAAGTGATGTATTAATATACAGGACCTAACTAATTCTAAACTGAAAAGTGGATTGGTAGAACAGTTTATATCGTACTGTTACTGAATTTAAATACCGTACAGAAACTTT